TCCTCGGCGATGTCTCTGGTGTGGAGCGCGCTGGAGGACGGGGGCCGTTGTCGTGGCTTTTGTCGTCGCTGTCGTCGTCAGCGGAGGGGAGTGGTGGAGGAGGAGGAGGAGGAGGAGCTTGAGGAAGAAAAGAAGAGGGGCATAATGCGGCGGGGTGGTCAGAGGAACGGACGAGGAGAGGGGGAGAGGCGAGGAAAGGACATCTTAGGAGAGAAGCGGAGGAGCCGCACCAGGATCTAGGAGAAGAGAGCAGAAGAGGAGAGGTTGTCAGAAACGAGGCGCGACGAGAGGAGAAGGGGACATAATAAGAACAAGCATGATGGGCAGAGGAAGGGGGATGAGGAGCAGGCGAAGGAGGTTTTTCTGTCTGTCTTCCCCATTCGGGCGCCATCTGTCACTCCTCAGAAAATGCATGCTCTTGGCCGCCGCTCTTGCCGCCAGATCTCATCCTCCTGGGGCGATCATGCTCCCGCGAGACTCCGAAACAATACATTGACGGGAGGGCCCCTAAGAAAAATTACCCAACGAAACCTGAAAGCAATCCTCATCGTCATCCTAGTCTCAAGGGGACAAAGGCGGCTGCCGCAAGGGCTTCTTTTATGCACCGTGGGTCCGAGGCGACGGGGGCAAGGGTCCGATCTCTCGGAATGCTTGGCCTCCTCTCGCTCATGGCCTTCAACAGTCACCTGTGCTGTCAGCAGGCTTCGCTGCCGCTGGCCAGCGCTGGACCTGTGACGCTGGCGGTTGCCGTCGCAACGCCAGCTGGTTCACGTGGTGCAGGCACTGCGGCGCCTCTCGTCCACGTGCCCAAGACAGCGTGTGGCATGCTCAGCCTAAGCACGCTCATCATGGACCGCCTGGGCACTTCAAGGGAGGCACTCCTCCTGGTGGAGGTTTCGGCGGCAGTCACGGAGGTGCAGGAGTTTCAGGTGGTGCTGGCGGCTCGGCCTCTCCAACTCCGGCTCCTGCCAAGCTCTTTGTCGAAGAGTACCAGCAGATGGCCTCACTCTTTGGACAAGATGGGCGACACTAAGACTGCACATTCATATCGCATGGCGGCTCAGGCCCTTCAAGCGCCTCGGCCAGCCAGCTTGGAGGTGCGCATGCAGCAGGCGCACTTTGACAAGATGGGCGACACTAAGACTGCACATTCCTATCGCATGGCGGCTCAGGCCCTCCAAGCGCCTCGGCCAGCCAGCCTGGAGGTGCGCATGCAGCAGGCGCACACCAAGGCTCGGCAGGCCGAGAACAAGCCCGAGGGGGCAGTCCTCGGGTTCGAGACCGTGGAGCAGCAGGTTGATGCGCAGCGCCGACATGTCGCCAGCCTTCGTCCCTCCTCCTCGCTACTCCTTCCTCCTCCTCGTTCCTCCTCCCCCTCCTCGCTGGGCGAGGAGCGCGGCGGCCCAGTGGGGGGGGGGGGGGGCGCGCGCCTCTGCCGGGCCACCGCGTCCTCCACGGCCGTCTCGTGGCGCTGGGCCCGTGGTCGGTCGGCCCCGGCGCCCACAGGGCCCCAGGGGCAGGGGGGTGCCCGGCCGAGTCGAGGCTCCACCACGTCTCAGAAAGGGCACAGCGACCTCGTTCGTCAGCTCCATGCTCGGCTTACAGCTCCGTCGGAGCCTGAGGTGCAGCCGTCGAAGGACAGATTCTCAGACAAGAGAACTTGGAAGAAATCTTCAAAATCCCTCAGGTCCTAACACCGCAGCAAATCACGCCCGGAGCCCCGGACCCCATCTTTGTATGCGATGTTTGCCGTATCGATCTGTGAGGGTCCCGGGGCCCGAAATTGGGCAAAAACGCCCGTTGTGAAAAAATCGGGGGCCCCCAAACGGGGCGGTGACCACACTTTGCGGCGAGTCGGTGGGGACTCGGGGTCACCGCACGGTTTTGGGACTCGAGTCCCTCTTCGAGGACGTCTCGGGCGACAGGGGCTTCAAAGGGTTCCAAGAGCGTGCGGTGGCGGGCGGACCGTGCGGTGAGGTCTCTTGGGGTTCAAGGTCGCCGCAAGGTCTGTCACCGCACCGCTTCGGGACTCCAAAAAGTTGCAGCGACACGATCTCAGGGCCGGCACGCCCCGCTCCCCCCCCCTCCCTCTCAGCGCAGGTGAACGGGCCAGAACCCAGAGGAAAACCACCTTCTCTCCTCCTCCTCTGGCCGAAGGCGCCCTTGGCCGAGCTCTGCCTCCCGTGGCCGTGGGCCGGCGCCCCTCGGCACTACGGGGTGGCAGATCCCGTCGGACCACCCCACGATATCGAGGAGCCCGAGGCGCCTTCTCCTCCTCCTCCTCCTCCTCCTCCTCCTCCTCCTCCTCCTCCGCCTCCGCCTCCTCCTCCTCCTCCTCCTCCTCCTCCTCCTCCTCCTGCTCCTCCTCCTCCTGCTGCTGCTGCACGCAAGCGCTCTCGCCAGAGTCCAGAGGAGAACGGGGCATGCCTCAGGGCCGGTCGGGGCCCGGCGGCGGGGTCCCCAGGCTCGCGGATGCATCTGGGGGCGAGGCCACCGGGCCGGGCCTCGGGGCTCGAGCCCCGGGGGTCGAGGGTCGAGCCCCTCGCGGGTCGAGGACCGAGGGCACCTGGGCCCGGATCGAGGATCGAGGATCGAGGATCCTGAGCTCGCCAGAGCCTATAGAAAGAGAAGGGGCGCTGGGGCCCTTCTTGTGGCCCCGATGTTTTCTGTTTCGCCCCGCCGCGGCCGCAGGAGTGCAAGATCGAGCCCAGCGCTGCGCCGCTCTGCGTGGATGCCCGAGCGCCGTGCGCCGAGACGGCGGAGTCGTACAGGACAGAGACGCGCCTCGCCGCCGACGCCGCGCGGCCGCCAGAGTCCCCGTCCCCGCCCTCGTCCTCGTCCTCCTCGTCGTCCTCCTCCTCGTCCTCCTCGTCGTCCTCCTCGTCCTCGTCCTCGTCCTCGTCGTCGTCCTCCTCGTCCTCCGCGTCGTCGTCCTCGTCGTCGTCGTCGTCGCCACCGCCGCCGCCGACGCCGCACGGCCGCCGATGTCCCCGTCCTCATCCTCGTCCTCGTCCTCCTCGTCGTCCCCCTCCTCGTTTTCCCCGCCGTCGTCCTCCTCGTCCTCGTCCTCGTCCTCCTCGTCGTTCTCCGCCTCGTCATTCTCGTCGTCGTCGTCCTCGTCGTCTTCGTGGTCGTCGCCGCCGTCGCCGCCGACGCCGCGCGGCCGCCGATGTCCCCGTCCTCGTCCTCGTCCTCGTCATTCTCGTCCTCCGTCTCCTCGTCCTCCTCGTCGTCGTCCTCCTCGTCCTCGTCCTCGTCCTGCTCGTCGTCCTCCTCGTCGTCCTCGTCGTCGTCGTCCTCGTCGTCGTCGTCGTCGTCGCCGCCGCCGCCGCCGACGCCGCGCGGCCGCCGATGTCCCCGTCCTCGTCCTCGTCCTCGTCATTCTCGTCCTCCTCCGTCTCCTCGTTCTCGTCCTCGTCCTCGTCCTGATCCTCGCCGTCGTCCTCCTCGTCGTCCTTCTCGTCGTCGTCGTTGTCGTCGTCAGCTGGAGGTCGCCATGCTGGGAGGTCTCTGGAGGCCCTCCGAGGTGACCCCAGAGGCCTCTGCGGTGGAGGCCCCTGGAGGCCCGAGAGGACTAGAAACGTCCAAAAACCGCAGCGCCCGATCCTCGATCCTCGTCGTCGTCGTGGCCGTCGCCGTCGCCGTCGCCGACGACGCCGTCGCCGCCGCCAAGGCCGAGAAAGTCGTCAAAGTCTGCGTCGTTGTCCTCGACGGTGCCGTCGCCGCCGTCGTCGTCGTCCTTGCGTCAAAGCCGTCCGTCGTCGACGTTGGCGTCGGCGCCGCCGTCGGCGCTGGCGTCGGCGTCGTCGGCGTCGGTGTTGTCGGCGAGAGCGTCCGCCCTCGCAGGCCGCCTCTCCCAGAGGGCGGCAACGGTCAGCCCGGGGCGCCCGGCGCGCCGCCGGCGGAGGCGGCGGACACGTTCAGGCCGCCACTTGCGGCCGCTGCTGCTGCCTCGAGGCTCGAGGATCGAGGCTCGGCTGCTGCTGCGCTGGCGGCGGACACGTTCGGCCCGCCGCTTGCGCCCGCTGCTGCTGCTGCTGCTGCTGCTGCTGCTGCTGCTGCTGCTGCTGCTGCTGCTGCTGCTGCCTCGAGGCTCGAGGAGCGAGGTTCGGCTGCTGCTGCGCAAGCTTCCGCCCGCTGCCTCGACGCTCGAGGATCGAGGTTCGGCTGCTGCTGCTGCTGCTGCTGCTGGCCAGGGCGGCGGGCACGTTGAGGCCGCCGCTTGCGCCCACTTCTGCCGCCTCGATGCTCGAGGATCGAGATTCGGCTGCTGATGTTGGCCGGGCGGCTGGCACTTTGGGGCCGCCGCTTGTACCCGCTGCTGCTGCCTCGAGGCTCCAGGATCCAGGGTCCGCTGCTGCTGCTGGCTTGTGTATGTTTTGTTATGTTGGTTTTGGGGGGTTGGGAGCTCTGGAAAGAACAGGAGGATTTGCTGGGGGTAGGCCGCGGGGAGCACTTTAGTTTCCCAAACCAAAAAAATCGAATACCCAAAAATACACCGTGTTTCCTTGCATCATAAACCAAAAAACAGAAACACCAAAAATACACAGCGTTTCTTTGCACCGGGGGCGCCAAACACTGTGTATGGTTTTCATGCTTTGCAACAAGGAGGAAGAAAGGAAAGGAGGAGGTGCTGGGGGGGACGCCGTGGGCAGGACTTGAGCTTCCAAAACCACAAAAAGAACATATATCCAGACATACACCGTGTTTCCTTGCATCCTAAACCAAAAAACAGAAACACCAAAAATACACAGCTTGTCCTTGCATCGAGGGCGCCAAACACTGTGTATTCTCGTTTTTGTGTTACTACAGAGAGGAGGAAACAGAAAGGAGAATGCGGAGGAGGAGGATGGGCGAGGAGGAGGAGGAGGAATTGTGTTTGGAGAAGGAGGACGGAAGAAGAGAAGGGAATGATGAATAAGAAGATGATGAACGTGAATACGATTCAAGATACACTGTATGATCTTGGGGGAGGGGGCAACCATATATATATATATATATATATATATATATATATGCAAGACTGCATTGGCGCTTCGCGCCATGCACCTTGGCCCATAAAGCTCGGCATGCAGGCGGGATGACAGGAAGGTCAAGCCGGCAATTTAGCGATAACTCCTTGTTGCCTTTTCCGGCATCGTCGTTATTATGATGTTATCGTTTTCCTTCCTCAATGTTTCTGTTTCTTCATTCTCGCCATACCCTGCGCATTCTCCCCATCCTCCTCAGTTCTTTTTTGCGGAGCTTCCTCCTTGGAGAGCCTCTGGGGGCCTCACAAAATTTCTCATGCTTTCTCAAGGCCTTTTGGAGGCCTCCTGGGCGTATTCTGGGGTCCTCTGGGGGCTTCCTCAGGTCACCCTGCCTCCAACCGCGGTCTGCCTGAATGACTGGGTCACGATTTGGAATGCTTCAGAGCTTGTCTTCGGGCCATCTTGGGCCGCCATGGGGCACTCTTAGGGCCATCTTGGACTCCTGTTGTGCCGTTTTCGGGCTGTCTCGGACTGCCTGGAAGCCCTTTCGGATAGTTGTGGAGCGATTTTGCAGCCTCCCAGGCGGCTTCGGACGCCCAGAAGACCGCCGTCTTGGAGCGTCGGGAAGCCGAAAAGAGGATAACCCCAACCTTCACCAAAAACCAATGGAAAATCACAGATGTTTGCCTCTTGGGTCCTTCTTGGGAGTGCTCTTGGGGACGTTTCGGAGCGATCTTTGGGGGTATGACGGCTTCGCGGGCGTCGTCGTGGACCGTATTGGGGCTCTCTGGGGTCGTTTCGGGAGCGCGCCGGAACGCCTGGAACCCGTCTGGGGCCGTGTTCGGGTGCTGGGAAGGCTTGGCGAAACGCCCTGCGAGGCCTGGAGGGCCGCTTCGAGGCCCGTCCGGAGGGTCCCAGAGCCCCATATCCCGGGAGTCCGGTTTTTGGGGGAGGGGTGACGGGTTTTCCCCCTGCCAGGGCTTATAAAAATGGAGGAAGAGGAATATGTCCACACTGTCAGTGTACATATATATATATATATATATATGTGTGTGTATGTATGTATATGTACATATATATATACATATGTATATAAATAGATGTATTTCGTTCCATCCCTCCCAATTTCTCTTCATCACCTGCCTGCCCGCGCGGCCAGAACGAGCGGACGGAGCGGCACATGGTCACCCATGCTGTTTCCCCGGGATTCGAGAGTCGAGGTTCCAGGATTGAATGTTTCGACCGCTCCTCTCCCGCAAGTCTGCGGCCGCGGCCGCGGCCCGGCCCCCAAGCGCGGCCCGTCATTCCTCGGCGGACTGGGCCTTGACCCGGGCGGCGACGGGGAAAAGTCTACCCTACTCCGTCGTTTGGCGCCCTCCATTCTGTTCGCGCTACGCAGGCTCTGTACCTCAGCTGCGGTCACGGACAACACGTGGTCACATAGCCCATTTGGGCTACGGGGCCAACACGGTGTCACACCGGCCCCGTTTGGCTCCCGAGGGGTCCCCCCGAGGGCTCTCGAGATGGGTCACGCAGCATGGCCGCCAACACGGATGTGTGATTGCCGTAAGTTGGCAACGCTAAACATTGGGCGCGGTCATGTGTTGTCAATGCTTCGCACGGGGTCGTTTCTCATGGCGCTGGAAAGCAAAGTGCAAGGCTTGCGTGTGGCCGCTCTGTTTCTGGAGAGGCACGCCAAGGAAGGAGCAACCTCTGTGAGTCCGCGCTTACAGACGTGTCTGCACTTCAATGCGTGAGGCGAGGGTGCCGAGTCATAGGTTAGACAGTAGAGAGTGGAGAGGTGATGATGATGACGATGATGATGATGATGATGATGATGACGATGATGATGATGACGATGGTGATGATGATGATGATGATGATGATGATGATGATGATGATGATGATGATGATGATGATGATGATGATGATGATGATGATAATGATGATGATGATGATGATGATGATGATGATGATATGGTGGAGGGAGGGGATGTGGAGTAAGAAGGGCATGGGGGGAGGACAAGGCGGAGGAGAAGGTAGAGGAGCAGGGGGAGGAAACATCATGCAATATATTGGTACAGTGCCGAGGAAGATGAGGGGGCGGAGGGGGGATGTAGAGGAAGAGCAGGGAGAGTAATTAGCGAAGAGGGAAAAAGAGAGAACCAGGATAAGACTGATGATAGTGATGATGCTGGGGTGGAGGAGGGGGATGATGAGGAGTAAGGGAATGGGTGAGAAAGAGGATGATACTTATTTAGAGGAGGAGCAGGGGGAAACTGGAGAAGGGGGCGGAGGGAGAGGGAATAGACCAGGATGTGAGTGCGGAGGGGGGGAGGGATGTAGAGGATGGGCAGGGGGAGCAGGGAGGGTGGAGCATGATGAAACCAAGATTGGTGATGTTGTTGATGCAGGGGGAAAGGTGATGCAAATGATAAGCTTATGGCTGTGCTGGTGCAAGATGGCGGGGGAGACGGTGCTGCTCATGGTCGTGCAGGTGGTAATGAAGGTGGTGACGATGGCAGGGGGG